TTGTCAGACTCATTGACTTGATACCCATAGTTGCGAACAACCCCATCGAACTTCTCATGCCAGAGTTTTGGTGCCTATTTAAGTTCGTATAGAGACTTAATAAGTTTATAAACTTTACTAGCTGGAGCATCAAGTCCTTCTGGTTTCTCCATGTAGATCTCTTTTGTGATGTCTCCATTGAGAAAGGCAGTCATCACATCCATCTGATGTATAACGAACCTTTTTATCACCGCCCATACGATAAGCACGCTGATGGTAGTGATCCTGCAAACTGGTGCATAGATGTCAAAGAAATCTATTCCTTCTCTCTGAGAGAATCCTTTCGCCACCAGTCTTGCTATGTACTTCTCAATAGTACCATCAGGACGAAGCTTCTTCTTGAAGATCCACTTGCAACTGATAGGCCTAGCACTTTCAGGTACATCCACCAGCTCCCATATGTGATTTTAGATCAATGAATCCATCTCATCATCTATAGCTTCTTTCCACAGAAGAACATCTGTTGACTGCATTGCTTCTTTGAAAGTCTATGGGTCTCCTTCTACATTATAGGTGATGAAATCAACTCCAAAATCTTTCTGTCTTCTAACACGCTTGGAAGATGGTTTAGTAACTCCTTCATCACTGACATTTTCAGTTTCTCGTGAAACTGGCTCCTCTGGTGTGTCTGATATACTAGCATTCTCTGCTATATCTTTGAGCAATAATCCTTTATCTTTGATAAACTTATGCTCAAAGAATTCTGCATCCCGAGCTTCAATGATGGAGTTGGTTCCAAGATCAAGGAACCTGCAAGCATCACTATCTTCAGCAAAGCCAAGAAACACACATTTGTTTGCCTTTGGTCCGAGCTTAGACCTTCTGATATTTGGAACTCGAACATATACGAGACACCCCCACACTTTGAGACTATCCAAAGGATCTAGATATCCTAACCATAACTGATGAGGAGTACTATCAGTTTTAGAATAGGATACTCTATTCAGAATCCAGTTTGCCATCAGCAAAGCCTCTCCCTAATAGCATGTAGGTAGACCGGATGTGATTAGCATTGAATTCACCATCTCTGTTCAGAAGCGAGAGTAGTCATCAATGAAGGTGATGAAGTACTCTTTGCCACCTCGAGTGACGAAGCTCTTGAAATCACAAGTATCTGAGTGAATTAGATCCAATAGGTTGGTGCTCCTTGTAACGCTTGGAAATGGCTTCCTTGTCAGCTTCGCTTGCGCACATACTTCACACTTATCAGGTTTGGTACCCCTATATTTCGGAAGTAATCCTAACTTCACCATGCTAGACAGCTTTCTATAATTTACATGTCCTAGCCTATTATGCCATAATACAGAAGAGGATACTTCATTTACATGTCCTAACTTCTCCATGCTAGACAGCTTTCTATAATTTACATGTCCTAGCCTAGTAAGCAGAAGAGGATACTTCATTTACAACTGAGTTGGGTATAATAGTACTGATCTTATACATGCCATCAGTACGATAAGCATTGCCAAAATACATTTTCTTAAAAGATAACACAGTCTTTCCTCCTTGGAAATGTAGCCTCATACCAGCGTCACATAGCAGACTTCCAGAGACTAAGTTTTTGGCAATTGAGGGAACATGTTTCACATCCTTCAATGTGTGAGTCTTCCCTGAAGAAAGAGTTAGCACCATAGTCCCAGTTCTAAGAATAGGAACCACAGAACGATCAGCCATTGATACGTTCTCTTTGGCAGCAACATAGTTAGTGAACAAATCTCTGTTGGAACAGACATGACATGTAGCACCTGTATCTAACCACCAACCAGAGACTTTGCTGGGAGTTGTCACGTGAAAGAGCATAGCCACACAATTATTAATTTGATTAACATTGTGTGATGTTCCCTTCTCTGGTGCTTTGCAATCCTTAGCAAAATGCCCTTGTTTCCCACAGTTGAAGCATTTGCCGCTCTTCTTGAAATCTTTCTTTTGTACTTTCAGGTTCTTCGGATTATGATTCTTCCTTTTGTTAAAAGATTTCTTTTTGTTAGAAGAATTGGTACCCTTCTCAAAGTTAGTTGCCACCATGTTAGCAGACGCCTTCTGCTTAGCTAGGATCTCATTCTTTGTGCGAGTTCGAATCTCGTCCTCGATCCGAATAAATCTCTTCAAATCAGACAGAGTCACCTGTCTTTTCCTTCTTCGAATGTCCGTAGAGAACGACATTCAAGATGGAGGAAGCTTGTTGATAATTGCACCAAAAATGAAGGTTTGACAGAGACTGATCTTTTCATCCTTCGGCTTCATAACAAGCTTTTCGAGTTGTTTGACTTGAGGAAAAACCTCAGTGTCATCTTCAAACTTGAAGTCCAGAAATTTGTCAATGAGGTGAGACTTGGAAAGCTTCCTTCAAACTTGAAGTCCAGAAATTTGTCAATGAGGTGAGACTTGGAAAGCTTCTCCTCATCCTTGTATTGCTCCTCGGTGAGACTTGGAAAGCTTCTCCTCATCCTTGTATTGCTCCTCCAGAGCATTCCAGATTTTCTTTGCAGACGGCTTGTTGGTGTAAGCATCTGAGTCTTCTTTATCCCAAGAGGCTTCAGACTCTGAGTCTTCTTCAAAGTCAGGTTTCTCCGCTGAAACCACATAGTAGATTTTCAGGAGTTACATCCCAAAAATCACTTTTCGACGTCATGCGTTGAAGTTAGATCCATCAAAGTTTTCTAACTTGAGACAGTCCACTCCAAGAGTCTTCGCAGGATCCATTAGTAGATCAGAAATATTGCTTTAAGATTGTTGGAAATTAAGGTTAAATCTGGAATGAAGCAAGCAATTAGATGTGCTGTATTTTTAAACTTTTTTCAGTTAACTGCTGTGCGTTATAGAAACGCTGTGCTTAAAGCAATATTTGGCCTACTTTGGTGTAAAGATCCCAAGACCAAACTGCTTCCAGGAACAGTAGTGCAATACTCTGGTGTGCACCAACCTAGTATTATCAAGATCTCCTCGATCTATAAGATCTTTCGGTCTAGGCAAAAGATCTCCTCGATCTCAGAACCTTTCGGTTCAAAACCTTTCGGTTTAAGACAAGTTCCTGTGGGCATAAGTTCCTGTAGCAGCAGCACAACAGAAACAACATCGGGATCGACGTTCGTATTCCAGCACGCGACGTTCGTGTTCAACGCACGCGAGAGGATTTTCAGCTCTCGACGTTCGTGTTCCAGGCTCGTGAGAGGATTTCCAACAACAACCAAGAACTGTCCAAGGGCGTTATTTATAGGCCTCTAAAGCCAGCTCAAGAGTCACTAGTAATTAATGTGACCGTTATAATTCTTAATGACAATTAAGATTGTAATATCAATGCATTAAATTGCTCTTAATGTTGTTACAACTGTTGCATGCATTAACTCCTGAATACGAGGCAATCAATGGACGCATTGCTACTGAAACGCGAGGGTCACGTCTCAACAAATCAGATGAACCTCGTTTGATAAACGAACATTGTTAAACAGGCGAACCTCGTATGACAGACGAACCTCGTCGAATGAGCGAACATAGTCAAACAGGCAAACCTTGTATGACATACGAACCTCGTTGATCGAGCGAACCTCATCAAACAGGCGAACCTCGTATGACAGACGAACGTCGTCAACAAGTGAACCTCGTATTACAGACGAACCTCGTCGAACGAACGAACATCGTCAAACAGGCGAACCTCGTATGACAGACGAACGTCATCGAACGAACGAACATCGTCAAACTACGAGAATGCTAGGGTCACCCTCGTGCGAATACGTAGCTCGCCCGCATGCTGCGAAGTAGCCTGCAAGGCAACCTTCGTGACGCCAAACAGAGCCACCTCGCCCCGATGCATCCGTGCGAAGTGCAAAGTGCGCCTAACAAAGCGTCACTTAGCGCCTCAGCCCAATTAGCCCCGATCCCCGACCCATTGGCCCACGGCCCACGACCCACTAGAACTTATGAGAGATTAATTCAAATAAAACACTTCTCAGTTTGCCGTTAGTAAGTCTCGAACAATGGACCTTTTGAAATACCAAAACTTTAACTTTTAACTAGCTACAAAGCCTATAGATATAGTTTGAAAACTCATTTTGGAAAGCTATTTTTTTGACCAAAAAATCCAACATATTCTTATCAGAGAAAGTATCTGTTATCGTATCCAGCTATTATACGGATATAGTTCTTCAAATCTATAACCAATAAGATGTTTGGTTACAAAAATATAGTTCTCTAATGAAATATCTGGATCCGTATCTTAAATATTCGAATACATATTGGTGATACAATTGCCACAGTTTAATCCTTAGATTATAGTATATTTGAGATTACTTTTGATTATCAAGATGTCTAACGTTAGCTTCTTAGATATAACAAACATATTAATAAACCATTTTTGTATCACATGAACTATATTTCTTTTCAATATTATCTAGGTTTGTCATATCCGTTTCATATCTACATGCATATCCGCTTATATATCTGCATGTATATCCATATCTGTATTTGATTTTGGCAGATATTGATATAAATTTTTCTTACTAAGCTATATACGTAATCGTATTCATATCCATGATGGGTAAACGGATATGGATATAATAAGTATCATATTCGAGCATCTCCTGAACAAATGCACTCCTACCTTGAATACAACTGACATCTCTCAACATAAACCCCTGATGAACTTGGAATCTACACACCCAGATTCACAAAATTTGTTTCCAACTCTCAAAACTGAGCCTGATGTATGAACTCAAGCTATCACAAGCGAACACCACAAGCCAGCAAAATACACATTGAACAATCTAGCCCAAACAAAAGTCCTATCTATACCCTGCGACGAGCTTGTATAAATAATCTGCCAGACATTTATAACCATAAATTATGATGTTGCTTGACTCGTCAGTCTTACGGTTTATGGTATATATTTATATCAGTTCTGGTTCGTATTGCACATGTTAACTATTATCAATTTCTTTACAATGAATTAATTAGTTGTTAAACAGTATGCAGTAATGAAAACTGACGTTGGCGAATATTATGGAGCAAGTGCAAAGCTTATTGTTTATGGTTTCCCAAATGTTAAACTTGATCAAGCCACCATAAGCCAAATATGGGTCATAGGAGGCGCTGATGGACCTGAAGAAAAAATAAACACTGTACAAGCAGGATGGCATGTCCGTAAGATTACTGTTAATATTTGTTTAAAAAGTTGTCAATTTTTTTCAAAAACAGATTAGTGCTTTGCATTTGCACTATATACTTTGTGCTAAATATATTTATAACATTTCAGGTATACCCCGGTATAGATGGTGACTCTTTAACCCATCTATCTACGTTTTGGACGGTATGGTCTAAGAACTACGTCTTAAATTTAGATGAGAGTTATCACAAAAAATATGTACTCGATCGAGATTTACAGAAGTTGATTAATAATTTGTGCAGGCTGATGGATATAAAACAGGTTGCTTCAACTTCAACTGTCCCGGATTTGTTGCACTGTCTCCAGACTTTGGTCCTGGAAGTGAAATAACAGAGCTTTCTGTCTACGGTGGGATACAAAAATCAATTGAAATAAGTATCTTCAAGGTATTAACTTTGTTCTGGGAAATTTATTCAGCCGTCTAGCTTTCTGTATATCTTATGTGCACGTTTAGCGTTAGGGAAGGGATATTTCTATAAATTTAAGACTTACATAGAGTTTGCATTCCTATACTTAGGTTTTCATAGAATACTTTACTGGGACATACATCCCATGATTCTGAGAATGTGCTATTTTTGTTTGCTTTCCAACTTCGTGGTAATAATCGCAGGATTCGAATTCTAATTTGATAATGGATGAAACACAACAGCATCACCGGAATTATTTATGTATTAAAAAAAAGAATATTAAGAGTTGTTATCAGCTATACCGGTCTATAATGCATGAGGTTTTTCTATAAGTAACCATTATTTTCTTTTTAACTGTAGGATCAAAAAACTGGAAATTGGTGGTTAACATATGGACACGAAAGATCTTTTGTGGGATATTGGCCAAAGGAGCTTTTCAATAATTTAGAGAAAGCTACTGAGGTTGACTATGGTGGTGCGGTTTACTCTCCCTTCAACGAGCCTAGTCCTCCGATGGGGAGTGGTCATCTAGCTATTCCTACTGAAGGTCCAAACAAGACATGTTATTTTCTGAATGTTCAGTTAGTAAACGAAAGAAATGAGCTCTATGATCCAATATATTATAAAGTCCACATAATTGCTGATATTACAGAATATTATAATATTGATAACAATTATCTGTCAGGACCCCCAGACGGTTACCAATTCCGTTATGGTGGTCCTGGAGGTTACACTCGTTGAACAATTGTCTTGTTGCTACATGAATAAAATATTTTCTTATGGTAGCATTACGATTTGTTTTGTTGATGATGGATTTATGGTTAAGCCTATGGACAAAACTTTTCCTTGGGGAGTTTAGAAACTTCAATTTGCAAAAATTCCTGTTATCTTTGCAATGGTGATGCAATAGAGGGTCGTGACCATCTCTTTTTTGAATGTGAATACTCTATGAATGTCTGGAACAAGATCATGTCATGGCTTAACTTCAGATGGCGTTCTTGTAACTGGAATTGTATGTTGGAATGGTTCACTACCAGTTTGAGAGGCAAGGGTTTTAAGCAAAGGATTAAGAGGATGGCCTTTAACACTTCATTATACAAGATTTGGAATGAAAGGAACTCCAGGATTTTTATTCAGAAATCCAAAGGGCCTGATCAGCTAGTTAAAGAGATCAAAGTTGATATGTTGATACTAATTCTCAATGGTAATACTGCTTCGGAAGATAGAGAATGGATTTTATCACTGTAAATAGTTTTTCGGAGTATATGTGATGTTTTTTAGTATATCTGTCAAATATATAGGTTTATATATTTGCTAGATTTTTTTTAATATTCTACTATATTGGGGCACGTGCGTCGCATGTATATATACTTTTTTTAATTTTTGATCTTTTACATGGCATGAATATGATGAAGCGACTATAAATGTATGTTTTGGAATACAGTGTATTCATATTACTTTTCTATATTTTATGAAATAATCGGGAATAAGTTAGAGGTATATTAAAAACATACCAATCATATCTAAAATATATATATATGAAGCAATTAATTAATAAAATGATATTATGTAAGTTGGAAATAATTCTATTTACAAATTGCAAACTAAGTTTTATGATTAAAATGGGTAACTAATTTACCTTTGATTTTAAAACTCTAGATACTTGGAATAATTAAAGGAAGGTCAATAGTTCAAAATTAACATACGACGTTAACAAGAATATGATGCAACACTAGTAAAAAGTGGTCCAGCCCCAACGGGTGGTTAGAACCGTTGGTGCTGGCGAAACCCAGCCCCAACGGTTCCAACCGTTTGGGGGCAGTTTGTTTTTTTGCCAATTGACAATAGAGGGAACTTTCCCCCCGTTTATTTTCACGAAAATCAAAAGAAAAAAAACCACCGCAATCCCCCCAACCCTATCCTCTCTCTCTGCATGCAAAAAAACCCAAACCATAACCCCCGTGCTCTTCTCTCCCCCCAACTCTGACTCGCTGCCGCCGTCGGAGGTCGCCGCCGCCATCGAGTCGCCGCATTCGGGGTCACCGCCGCGTCGAGCGCTGTTGTTCGCCGCTGCCGTCGATCAATAGTTTTAACGAGCGGCCGAGTGCCCTCAAAAAACCCTAGTTCTTCCTCCCCAAATCTGACATCGCCGCCTCTCATGCTCCTCATTTTCGTCGGAGGCCTGACTTGTAAGTCCTCTACCTCAAAACCCTAACCCTAATCTGGGTAATTTGGACTGGAAATGTAGTTTTGTACATTTTCAATGTGCCTAATGATGAAATTGCTTCATGATTTTTCAATTTTAATTACCCTTGGTTATTGTGTTTTTGGACTTGATTCAGAAAAGTTATTATTATTATTGTCCACCTGGTTAACTGAGAGATTAAATACATAAACCCTATAGTATTCCTGTTCGAAACTAAGATAATAAGAATGAAGTATTGATTTACGCATGCTGCCCATTTTTTCACTATTCTTCTTATGGAAGGAGGTAGAGGTCTCTCCTTGAATGCATTTCCTTTATGAATTTTTCTAGGTGAGTTTCTGTTCGTTGGAGAAAAATAAAGAAGAAACTATGTGTTACAAAATGTATGTTTCTGAATTGGACCAGGTGCCCATCAGGTCATGCTTAAATGTCAGTTAAAAAAAAGAAAATGAAAAAGCTTATGCTCTCTTGAACTGTTGAACATGATCCTCGAAGCTATACTTGATCTTTCACCAGAGGAACTGCTTTGAGTAAATTGTTATTTGAGCAAAAGATATTTGTTTCTTATACCTGGGGTTTCATTTCCTGCTTGACCACTTGCGTAAATGAGGTTTTGTTCTGAGGCAGTTCTACTGATGTACTCTGCCTTGAGGGGTGAGTTTTCTTATTGGACGAAATAGACCTTCAACTTGGTCTCTGTATCATACTTGCGGACAGTTGGTTAGTCTCAACTCTCAAGAGAACTTAGTGGTCAATATCATGGTTGCATAGGCAAAGCCTCGGCCATTATATCATTGGGGTACATTGGCTATGCACCATTACCCCTTGTGCAAGTTGATATGGGAATGGCAGTCAATGCCTGTGTTTAGTCCAATCAATTCGACTTGTAGCCAAAATCTGATATTCAGATTCTCATTAATGCATATTGATTCCACTCTGCTGTATGCCTTCAGAATTCTAATTTGAGATTGCTCAGGTACCTTTCATTTGTATTAGTAGATTACCTTACGTGCATAGCAACCCAATCTTAGATATAACCCTCTGAAGTTAGTATAGAACTATAGGAATTGTCTTTTGTTTTACAAAAGGTTATGCAGGTTTTCGTGTTTGAATTCTTCAAATCTTTTTTCTGCAGGGCGATGAGGATTTGATTATTGTACATGATGCACTTAAATATGGAGGTTGTCGTCTGTCTATTGCAGTAAGTACACTGCCAACTCATCATACTCCAGAAAGGAGAATTGTGGACTTTGAAAATTTCAAAGTACTAATTGAAATGTTTGTGTATTTATTAGATTCCTAAGTGCGGGATTTTTGAAAATATAAACTCTCTGCATGATCTTGCGCAAATGTCTCAATGGACGAGAGAGGCCTTTAAGAATTGCAACTGGCTTTACTTATGTATGTGACTCCCACATCTTTGATGTTTTTGCAGCAACAGAAATTTTAAGAAATCTTAACATTTCTCTGATCACAGCTTGGTCCAAAATTTATGAAAGAAAAAGGTCTGGAATTTGTCACCTTCTCTTCTGCTGATGGAGCACTTGAGGCAGCACCTGCTGTAAGAATTTTTGCTTAGTATATCTTGCAAAAAAAAATCAGTGGACATTTTTCTTGTAGGAAGAGATAGGTAGCCAATTAGTAACTTGTCTCCTCTCTTGCCTGTTTTTGATTTATTACCTTTCCTGTTAGAACTTTTATCATGCATGCATTTAAAGGATTTCATTTCTCTTTGTGTCCTTTCCTTACTGTATGGCCAAGGACTATGATTGTATTTCGCTGGTTGATGAATTTCTACTTTCAATTTGGAGATATTACTAGGCTGTTCACTTATATGTGCTTGACATTAGAATTTTCTTTCGTGCATTTTACATGGCTTAGAAGAACTTCTGTCATCGTGCATTCAAATATTAGGTAGAACGTTCAAAAAACAACAACAAAGCTTTTACCCGAATGTTTTTGCGTTTGCGACTACAATCCTTTTTAATCGCATCCAACCAATTTTTCTCAGGCTTACCTCTAATTCTTGTCCAGTTAACTATTTTCTTATCACTTTTCGGTGTTGTATGTAGTTTGCTCAGCTGCACATGGCCAAACCATTTCAGTTGATTACCTCTCATTTTATCCTCAATATGAGCAAAATCTCTAACTTATTATGAATGCATTTTTTTGTTATGTCATCCCTTGTGTATATCCACACTTCCTAAGTTACATTCTTAAATTTTCTATGCTTATGTTTTGGACATGTTTCTTAATCATGCAACAGCCTGATTTGTAGCATTGTTGATCTTATACGTTGTCCCATAGAATTTTGCTTTCAATTTCATATGTATTCTGCAATTGCATAGGAATTCAGAAGTACTCCTCCAGTTTAACCATCTTGATTTAGTTTAATGAACTACGTCCTCCTTACTTTCACCATCTTAATCATTGATTGATTTTAGATATCTATTCTCTAGCTTTTATATCAATCTATCAACCTGATTTTTCTTTTTTTTTAATTTATATAATTGCCCCAACGGTTGTAACCGTTGGGGCATATATTAGCCCCAACGGTTAAAACCGTTGGGGCTAATATATGCCCCAACGGTTCTAACCGTTGGGGCAAACAGTTTGCCCCAACGATTGGAACCGTTGGGGCAAGTTAGGCAACCGTTGGGGCTGACTTAGCCCCAACGCAACTTGCCCTAACGGTCGTTATTTTTGCCCCAACGGTCCTAACCGTTGGGGTCATGATTTGCCCCAACGGTTACAACCGTTGGGGCAACTCATGTTTGTACTAGTGCAAAGGTAAATGTCAAAATGAAATTAGTTAGTTATTTGAGCTCAAAGAATTAAAGAATAAATTAATATTTACTTCATTTATTATTAAAATCTATTATATGCTTTTACTCAATGTCTGATAAACTCTAAATTATTAACAAACTTCCATAAATTGCATGTGCATTATAAAACAATTTTTGTACAAACTGAAGTTAGATCCTCAAAAATAGATAAATCGTTCTCCCTTTAAATGTAGGAGTTTAGATAAAACTTTCTATGGTCAATTTTACTCCTAACCATTTTTAATGTTACATTATATTTCAATTAAATTAAATTAAATTATTAGTAAACTATAAATTAAATTTTTTCTCCACACCTCATCCCAATAACCGTGCTTGTATCCCACTCTTTTATCTCCCCACTAAAAGCAAAAAATACTTGAAGTTAAGAAACTCATTATTTTCACACGCTATGACCAAACTATGCAGAGTCCAAGGTGAAGAGCAAGAAATTTTTAATGAACTGCTCCCTTGCGGAGGGAGATGAAGCTTTTCTGATGATGGCCTCCGTCTCATTTTGTGAGGGGCTCTAAGATTCTCCCTAGGATAATGGAGGAAGGTGAACCATATATATAGCGAGAGATACATCTGAGATTGAGGATGAGAAAGCGGAGATTGAGGGGGTTAGTTGATGGATTAATGGAGGAGAGTAAAGCAATTAGTGGAAAATTAGGAAGGAGTGAGATTAGTTTGAATTTGTTGAGATAGAAGAGGGTAGTGGGGGACATGAAGCTCTAGAGAAAGTTGTGGCAGTAGGGAGGTATTGTTATGGTATTGAAATGCAAATTCCGTAAAAAAATTATTATGGATATCCCACAACAATATATAACTTGTTAGCAAATGATTCATGCTCTCATTTCATAGTTCATAAATATCCTACTGATGGGAACGGGGTCCATCCCCATGACGAGTTAATCCATAGAAATTATGAGGTGTATTGAAGCTCTTGGAAGTTGGCCACATGCATACATTGATCGATTATCTTTCTCCATGCATTAGGAAAAAGAATGGTTGATCTTTGAGCTTTTCCATGCATTGGGAAAAGGAATGGTTGATCTTTGAGCTTCTCCATGCATTGGGAAAAGGAATGGATGGTCTTTGGACTTCTCCATGCAATGTATTTAGTGTACCCAAGAGACATATCCTCCCTATAAATAGATGGGAGATGGTGAAGGTTGAAAAAAGGAGAGCACAAGAGAACAAAGAAGAAGAAGAAGAGAGAAAGTAATCCTCAAAGTGAGTTTGAGAGAAAGTGATCCTCAAGTTAAGTTGTATCAATTTGAGAGAAGACCATTTTGTAAACTTTTATTTGATTATAGTGAAAACGGTGAAGAAGGGGCGGGTGAAGACGTAGGCTCAATTTGAGCTAAACCTCGGTAAATCTTGTGTGTGCAATCTCTCTGTTTGTTTTTCTCTTCTATTTGTTGTTCCCATCTCATCACAAAGTTGGGAAAGGTCTTGTTGTCCTGTTTATTTCCCAACAGTGATATCAGAGCAATGTTGCTAATCTTCTTGTACGTGTTGAGATGGAGACTCCCATCGGTGACGTTCGAATGATCAGTTTGAATGGCCGCAATTGGATGATATGGAAGGCGAAGATGATGGACCTTCTATATTGCAAGGACCTCTATGCTCCAGTTGAAGGTGAATCCTCCAAGCCAGACTCCATGACAGCAGATGATTGGAAGAAGCTCGATCGAAAAATCATCGGCACCATTCGGCAATGGGTGGATGACACTGTTTTCACCATGTGTCAAATGAGACTTCGGCGAACAGCTTATGAAAGAAACTTGAAGATCTCTACGAAAGAAACACCATCGGCAACAAAGCTTTCTTGATTCGAAAGCTTGTCAATCTCAAGTTCCAGGAAGGTGATTCTATATCTAAATATTGAATAAAATTCAAAATGTTGTAAATCAACTTGCAGTCATGAAGATGGTGTTGGAAGATGAGCTTCAAGCCCTTCTTTTGCTTAGCTCATTACCAGATAGTTAGGAGACGTTGGTGGTGTCTCTTAGCAACTCCAAACCTGACGGAGTTGTATCCATGAACCAAGTTACAAACAGCCTCTTGAATGAAGAAATTCATCCGGATCCTCCGTTTCTCATGCTCTTGTTACCGAGAACAGGGGGATGAGAAAATATCGATAGCCTCAGAATCGAGATGAGTCAAGAGGAAAATCAAAGGCTATAAAAGACATTAGTTGTTATCACTCCAGAAAGAATGGACACATAAAACGGGAATGCCGCAAGCTCAAGTGAGAACAAAAGGAAGGAACGACCAATGAAAAACAAGAAATGAATGAAAGTGCAGTCGTTCTCAGTAACAATGAAATTGTGCTTTTTTCGGCAAGTGAAGAAGTCTGTACAAATCTCACTTGCTAAGACTCGAAATGGGTGATTGATTCTGGTACATCCTACCATGCTACTTCCTGTAAGGACTACTTCACTTCGCTTCGTGAAGATAATCTTAGAATGGTAAAAATGGATAATAAAAACTCTTCTCAAATTCTCGGCATTGGAAATATTTGTGTTACAACTAACCTTGGAACAAAGTTGGTTCCAAAAGATGTCAGATTTGTGCCCGATATTTGTCTCAATCTTCTCTCCATCAGGAAGCTTGATGAAGAAGGATACACAAGCAACTTTGGTAAAGGATGTTGGAAGCTTACCAAAGGATCACTTGTATTAGCAAGAGGAAAGAAGTGTTGTACTCTCTATATGACTCAGTTTCACTTAGAGAATGATGACTTTGGAAAAGTGGAAGGTACCTCTATGGATTTGTGGCACAAGCGGCTAGGCTACATAAGCGAAAAAGGGCTACAAACTCTCGCAAGACGACAACTACTTACATCCATGCAAGATGTGAAAGAAGAAGAAAGAAATTACAGGCTCTCCAGTTTTTTATCAGGGAAAGCATGAACATGCAGAGCCACCATATATGGATCAGCCACAAGTACCTCAGTTGAGACGGTCAGAGAGAGAACGACAACCTTCAACTAGATACACTGTTTCAGAGTATATTATGGTAACAGATGCAAGAAGTTTCCATGAAGTACAAGTTTATGATGATCGTGTAAAGTGGAAGAAAGCTATGCAAGAGGAGATGAATTCTTTGCATAAGAATCACACTTATGACTTGGTGGAGCTACCTAAGAACTCTAAGCCAGTCATCACACCGTTAGCAACTCATTTTAAGCTAAGTACACAACAAAGCCCTTCAAGTGAGAAGGAGAAGGAGGAGATGAAGAGCATTCCATTTGCCTCGGCCGTCGGAAGTTTGATGTACTCTATGGTTTGTACAAGACCTGATATAGCACATGCAGTTCGAGTGGTAAGTCGTTTTCTTGCTAATCCTGGTAAAGAACATTGGGAAGCAGTAAAGTGGATCCTAAGATATCTTAGAGGAACCTCCAAATATTCTTTATTTTTTGGAGAAGGAAAATCTATCTTGGAAGGCTACACTGATTCTGATATGATGGGTGACTTGGACAAAAGAAAGTCCACATCGGGATACTTATTTACCTTTGCAGGGGGAACCGTGTCATGGCAATCAAAGCTACAAAAATATATCGCTCTATCCACCACAAAAGCTGAGTATATCGCTGCTATAGAAGCTAGCAAGGAGCTCTTGTGGATGAAGAATTTTCTGAAGGAGTTATCTCTCAAGCAAGAGAAGTACACTCTATATTGTGACAGTCAAAGCGCCATCGACTTGAGTAAAAATATTACCTATCACT